GGCCAGACCCTGTATGGTGAGCCTCCCAGCCAGATCCTGTGCTGACCCTACTCCAGACTGTCCTTCAAAACTTAGGAATCGGTCTTCCCTTAGCTTGGACCATGTTGAACCACCTGTAGCTCCACTGCTTGGCCCAGGATGGCAGTCCCTCCAAGCTAGATCTCACTCTACTACGCAAAGGACCCCACTGTTCCAACGGATATCAGAGGCTATGGAGGAAGAAGACGGATGTCACGGTGACTATGGAGGAAGAGGACAGACATCACAGAGACTATGGAGGAAGAGGACAGACATCACAGTGACTATGGAGGAAGAGGACAGACACCACAGTGACTATGGAGGAAGAGGACGGACACCATGGTGACTATGGAAGAAGAGGACGGACATCAAAGCGCCTATGGAGGAAGAGGACTGACAACACAGTGACTATTGAGGAAGAGGATGGACGTCATGTGACTATGGAGGAAGAGGACGGACGTCATGGTGACTATGGAGGAAGAGGACGGACGTCACGGTGACTATGGAGGAAGAGGACGAACATCACAGGTTTATTGGTTGAGGAACTGGGATAGGGACTAGGGTGAGTCTTGGGATACTCCAGAACTTCTTCCGGGTAGGCCTCTATTTGAAGAAGCGGTGGACATTCAACTCCAGGAAGATCCCTCACTGGAAACAGCAATCTCTGGAACAGACTTTAGTATCGGCCAGACCCTGTATGGTGAGCCTCCCGGCCAGATCCTGTGCTGACCCTACTCCAGACTGTCCTTCAAAACTTAGGAATCAGTCCTCCCTTAGCTGGGACCACATTGAACCACCTGTAGCTCCACTGCTTGGTCCAGGATGGCAGCCCCTCCAAGCTGGATCTCACTCTACTACCGAAAGGACCCATCTGTTCTGGACCACTGACTTTTTATGGTCACCTCAGCCCCCTGCTGGCCACTCTCCTAGCCAGGGTTTGACTGAGGAAGCATAAATATTCATGATGCCTATCTGATTACTAAAACAACCCAGAGAGCTCTGGAAGGCAACTAAGCTTGCAGCCTGTGAAACCCCGAACACCCAAAAGAAGTCAACTTGCTGCTCTGGCTACAGATCTCTTTACAGTGCGAACAAAGTGAAAACTATTGTCAGTCAACTTCAACTCCGCCTACACCATGCTATTGGAAAATAATTATTCATTTTGAAATATAGATTTGTATGTATTGTATGTATTTAAAACGTTTATTGCTATTTATTTATTTTGATTTTGTATTCTGAAAGTGTTTTTATATGTCATGTGACCAGTAAAGCAACAATGGATGTATGATCCTCTGCTGATATACAGAGTTTTAAAAACTCCTCCCTCAGATCTTTGCCCCCCACCATCCACACTACATTCTCTGACAGCTCTCCTCCACCATCCACACTACATTCTCTGACAGCTCTCCTCCACCATCCACACTACATTCTCTGACAGCTCTCCTCCCCCCATCCACACTACATTCTCTAACAGCTCTCCTCCCCCATCCACACTACATTCTCTGACAGCTCTCCTAAATCATCCACACTACATTCTCCGACAGCTCTCCTCCCACCATCCACACTACATTCTCTGACAGCTCTTCTCCCCCCCACCATCCACACTACATTCTCTGACAGCTCTCCTCCACCATCCACACTACATTCTCTGACAGCTCTCCTCCGCCATCCACACTATATTCTCTGACAGCTCTCCCCCCACCATCCACACTACATTCTCCGACAGCTCTCCCACCACCATCCACACTACTTCTCTGACAGTTCTCCTCCCCCTCCATCCACACTACATTCTCTGACAGCTCTCCTCCCTCCACCATCCACACTACATTCTCTGACAGCTCTCCTCCCTCCACCATCCACACTACATTCTCTGACAGCTCTCAAAATCTACTTTATAAGTAAAATAATTTATTTTATTTTTTGTTTTTATAGTAAAACTTGCTATCTAAAAATCAATGTCATATAAGAAGTCACAAACCATACTGGTTGAATAGTGTACATAATATCACAAAGTAGTTGCTGAAGGGAAATGTATGTCTTTTAGGTCTGTCATTTTGTTTTCCCCCACTCAATTTTATATTTTGTACTAACATGTTAATTGTTTTGTATTATACCCAGAATGAGTTAATGAAAATATTCTTCTTCTAGCTTAGCCTTGGTAGAGGAGATAGTATCCAATTATTTCTTTGTATTAACAGCACCTGTTTCTGTTATGATATAATTAAAAGTCAAATACTTCTGTCCCATGGAAAATAATTGTTGGATACTTGTAACTGATTTCAAGGCCTGAGAAAGTCATGTTCATAGCCTTGACAAGTATCTAGCGAGATTCTATTGTATGTAGTAGATAAGTGTTTTAAAACAATGTAGAAACTTTATTCCTGAGAAAGTGAAACCCCGCTTCTCATCACTTTTCAGAATTGACGTCAATGTTGTCTTTTTGTATTCAGCCAATCAATTACTGACAACTCAGCTTTTTGATACTCTGTGCCCCCACCTTTCTTTTTTCTGTTATATTAATTTTCTTCCCGCTAATAAACTTGAGAGATTGATTTTACCTATCACTGTGTGTATGTCTGTTGTCTTTCTCTTCTGAGATGAAGTCAATTCCCCGACGCGTCCGTACCTGAAACAGGACTAAAAAGACAGATAGCCAGGGGCTATGGACAACCTTTCAGTTGCTCCCATCAAAACCCAGACGGACTCTAGACCAGGCGCTAGGGGGTCCTAAAAGGGCCACGTTTTTCTCCTCCTTCAGACTTAAGAGGGGTTAAAAGCCCCCCCTTTCCCCATAGCCACACAAGGGCATGAGAGGGAGGGCTTTCCATGCTAGGCGTACTCAAATGGGACCCCTCTCGTGAAGGCAGCGCACCCCTCAGAAAAGCCAAGGAGACATCTCTTTACAAAAGTGAAACAAGAAGAAAGTCTTTACAACAAATACAGAATCACCATTACCACACATCGCCTACACCGTAAAATTCCTATATATATATATATATATTGTGACAGGAGTGACTTTGGGTGGGGGCCCATGGAACACAGCCCCCTTTGGAGGGGTGGGGAGACCCCTGTGTCAGCTCCCCATTATGTGTAAGTCACCCTGTGCCTGTTAGGGGTACAAGGTAAAATGTTCTAATATTGGGGTGGGGGGGTTGTTCATTGTTCTCTGCATGTACTGCATCCCATTGTTCTATTATGTGTCTTGCTTGGGATGGGATGTAATGTTTCTGGCAGCCCCTCCCCCCGACGGGTCGGCCTGCTGATGTGTTTCCTGTTTCTGGTTTATTTCCCCGCCCTGTGTATATATCTTGTGTTTGTGTTAAAATAAAGCAGTCTATTTCCTGTTTTAATACAAGCCTGGTGCTGTTTCATCTTGTATGCTCAGCGGTGGTGTCCGTGGATCTGTGTTTGAACAGGGAAGCAGGAGTCTAACGGAAATACCCTAGTGCAGTTGGGGTCCGGTTCCGTTATATATATAAACACGGATACATTTTATTCATATCTTACAGATAGATCACGTATGTGTTGGCACATCATTTTTTTTACAGACAACAGAGTCAAGCAAATACTTTTTCATATATTTGAACTCATCACATCTAGAGACTATTATAGATCCCTGACGTTCCAGCCTATAAGCATGGCGCTGTAACATCACGTTGTGTGGTGACGTCATCTCGCATAGCATGTCACTTCTGAGTCACCACCGACACGGGCATTGCAGTGCCCATTTCTACCCAACCAATGACGGAAGAAGGGCAAAAAGCTGAAATGGGCATACCCATGTCCAATCCTTTTACAGTGTGAGACCTGGCATTTCAGGCTATGATCATGAGCGTGGTGCAGTAACACTGGAGATGCCCGTTGGAGATCATTTTAATGTCTTTTTTAGAATTAAACCCTTCCATTAAAGCGCTTATAATTAGCTGTTTCACTGTGATCCCTGGCATTCCAGCCTATGATTTTGAGCGTGGTGACGTCATCCCGCATAGCAGGCAGTGTCACTTCTGGGTCACCACCGGCACAGACAATGCTCTGTCTATTCCCACCCAAATAATGAAGGCAAAAGGGCAAAAATCTGCAAAGGCCGCACCCGTGTGCAATCCTCCTACACTGTTATCCCTGTCGATCCGGCCTATGATTGTGAGCGTGGCGCAGTAACATCACGTTGTGTGGTGACATCATCCCGCACAGCAGACAATGTCACTTCTGGGTCACCACCGACATGGGCAATGCAGTGCCCATTCCCACCCAATTAAGGAAGAAGGGCAAAAAGCTGCAAAGGCCGCACCCGTGTCCAATCCCCCTACACTGTGATACCTGGCATTTTGGCCTATGATCGTGGTGCAGTAACATTAGAGATGCCCATTGGAGATACTTTTAGACTGTTTTTCCAGAATTACATCCTTGCAAAAAGCATTTATAATTAGCTGTTTTACTGTTATCCCTGGCGCTCCTGCCTAGGATTGTGTGCGTGGCGCCGTAACATCACGTTGTGTGGTGACGTCATCCCACATAGCAGGCAATATAACTTCTGGGTCACCACCTGCACAGACAATGCACTGCCCATTCCCACCCAACCAATGGAGGAAGAAGGACAAAAAGCTGCAAAGGCCGTATCCGGGTCCAATCCTCCTACGCATTGATCCCTGGGGATCCGGCTTAGGATTTGGAGCGTGGTGCCGTAACATCATATTATGTGGTGACGTCATCACGCAATGTCACTCCAGGGTCACCACTGACATGAACAATGCACTGCCCATTCCCACCCAACCAATGGAGGAAGAAGGGCAAAAAGCTGAAAAGGTCGTATCCGTGTCCAATCCTCCTACCACCCATCATACTGGGCCTGGGGAGCGGACCTCCCAAAATGCAACCACAGATTAGCCCTGCCCCCGCCTTTTCCCTGTAAACATTTCAAGCAATCTGATCATATTGAGGACGCTGTGCAGTGTGTGTTCTCTGATGTACGACTAGGTTTTCTTTCACAGCGAAACATTTCCCGCACTCTGTACATGAATAGGGACGCTCACCGTGTGAATCCTCTGGTGTCTAACAAGACTTGGTTTTTGAGTGAAAGACTTCCCGCACTCTGAACATGAATAAGGACACTCGCCCGTGTGACTTCTCTGATGCCTAACAAGGTCTCCTTTCAGAGTGAAGGATTTCCCGCACTCTAAACATGAATAAGGACGCTCACCCGTGTGTGTTCTCCGGTGTGTTACATAGCCTATTTTATGAGTGAAAGTTTTCCCGCACTCTGAACATGAATAGGGATGTTCACCCGTGTGAATTCTCTGGTGTTCAACAAGGCTTCTTTTCTCTGTGAAAGAATTTCCGCACTCCGAACATAAAAAAGGACGCTCACCCGTGTGAATTCTTTGGTGGGTCACAAGGTTTCCTTTCTGAGAGAAAGATTTCCCGCACTCTGAACATAAATAAGGATGCTCACCTCTGTGTTTTCTCTGGTGTGTAAGTAGGTCTCCTTTATGAGTGAAAGATTTCCCGCACTGTGAAGATGAAAAAGAATGCTCTCCCGTGTGAATTCTATGGTGTGTAGTAAGCTCTTCTTTTTTAAGGAAACATTTCCCGCACTCTGTACATGAATAAGGACACTCATCTGTGTGAATTCTCTGATGTTTAAGAAGGACTACTTTCTGAGTGAAGGATTTCCCACACTCTGAACATGAGTAGGGACGATCACCTGTGTGAATTCTCTGATGTATATGAAGGTCACGTTTTTGAGTGAAAGATTTCTTGCACTCTGAACATGGATAGGGACGCTCGCCTGTGTGTGTTCTGTAGTGTTGCACAAGATTTCCCTTCAGAGTGAAGGATTTCCCGCACTCTGAACAAGAATAGGGACGCTCACCTGTGTGAATTTTCTGGTGTCTAGTAAGTGCTCCCTTTTGAGTGAAACATTTCCCGCACTCTGAACATGAGAACAGATTGTCCCCTCGGTGAGCTCCTTCATGGGGTGAGGAAGATTCCTTGGGATTAGATGGATCTGTTGATCTATCTGCAGTGTGAGATCCTAAATGGACATTTGCAGTCCTAGTATGTGATTGGTCAGAAGATTCCCCCTGATCAGAGGGATCCATTGATGTCTCCAGACAGGAAGGTCTGTGATGGATATTGGGTGTATTTGGATTCACTCCTGGAGAATCCTGTGTGATGGCATTATCTTGTGACTTCCGAATAGCAGATAATAGAAGACATCTCTCCGAGGAATTCCTGACATCAGCGCCATCTGATGGAGAGAGAAATGGAAGAAATGTCAGAATTCACAAATAACTGGAGATTTAGCTCCTCCCCCCAGTCAGTGGAATAAGTGGAAATGTCAATCTCACAGCTGGGCTCCTGTTCTCCCTCCAAAATCGATCAGAAAAGTGTTCACACCGAGTCCATATATGATCTGCAGATTGTTTCATATTCAATAGCTACAACTAAGTCTTCATTAGCCAAAATACGTGAATGGATGTTCTACATGGGACCGCCTGGATTGTAACACAATAGAGAATTTTTAGATCATATATGGACTCCAAGGTGAGCACCTCTCTAAAAATGCCAGTAATAAAAGAGTAAAGTATATTGGTCTAGCAGTCAAGAGTTTCACAGACCTCAAGCATGGAAGTGGGTACAAATGAAACATCCAAATATGAAAATAAACCAATTAAAAAGATACAACATGGTGTCCAGTATCTCCTCCTCATTTGTTCGGAACATGACGTTATATTGAGGAATGGAGATGGACTTTCCATATGGGTGTCCAGTATCTCCTCCTCATTCATTGGGAACATGACGTCATATTGAGAAATGGAGATGGACCTTTCATATGGTGTCCAGTATCTCCTCCTCATTTGTTGGGAACATGACGTCATATGGAGGAATGGAGATGGACCTTTCATATGGTGTCCAGTATCTCCTCCTCATTTGTTGGGAACATGACGTTATATTGAGGAATGGAGATGGACTTTCCATATGGTGTCCAGTATCTCCTCCTCATTCATTGGGAACATGACGTCATATTGAGGAATGGAGATGGACCTTTCATATGGTGTCCAGTATCTCCTCCTCATTTGGTTGGGAACATGATGTTATATTGAGGAATGGAGATGGACCTTTCATATGGTGTACAGTATCTCCTCATTTGTTGGAAACATGACGTTATATTGAGGAACGGAGATGGACCTTTCATATGGTGTACAGTATCTCCTCATTTGTTGGGAACATGAGGTTATACTGAGGAATGGAGATGGACCTTTCATATATTGTACAGTATCTCCTCCTCAATTGTTGGGAACATGACGATATATTGAGGAATAGAGATGGAACTTTCATATGGTGTCCAGTATCTCCTCATTTGTTGGGAACATGACGTTATATTGAGGAATGGAGATGGACCTTTCATATGGTGTCCAGTATCTCCTCCTCATTTGTTGGGAACATGACGTTATATTGAGGAATGGAGATGGACCTTTCAAATGATGTCCAGTATCTCCTCCTCATTTGTTGGGGACATGATGTTATATTGAGGAATGGAGACGGACCTTTCATATGGTGTCCAGTATCTCCTCATTTGTTGGAAACATGACGTTATATTGAGGAATGGAGACGGACCTTTCATATGGTGTCCAGTATCTCCTCATTTGTTGGAAACATGATGTTATATTGAGGAATGGAGATAGACCTTTCATGTGGTGTCCAGTATCTTCTCCTCATTTGTTGGGAACATGACGTCATATTGAGGAATGGAGATGGACCTTCCATATGGTGTCCAGTATCTCTTCCTCATTTGTTGGGAAAATTACGTCATATTGAGGAATGGAGATGAACCTTCCATATGGTATCCAGTATCTCTTCCTCATTTGTTGGGAACATGACGTTATATTGAGGAGTGGAGACGGACCTTTCATATGGTGTACAGTATCTCCTCCTCAATTGTTGGGAACATGACGGTATATTGAGGAATGGAGATGGAGCTTTCATATGGTGTCCAGTATCTCCTCATTTGTTGGGTACATGACGTTATATTGAGGAATGGAGACGGACCTTACATATGGTGTCCAGTATCTCCTCCTTATTTGTTGGGAACATGACGTCATTTTGAGAAATGGAGATGGACCTTTCATATGGTGTCCAGTATCTCCTCCTCATTTGTTGGGAACATGATGTTATATTGAGGAATGGAGACGGACCTTTCATATGGTGTCCAATATCTCGTCCTCATTTGTTGGGAACATGACGTCATATTGAGGAATGGAGGTGGACTTTCCATATGGTGTCCAGTATCTCCTCCTCATTTGTTGGGAACATGACGTCATATTGAGGAATGGAGATGGACCTTTCACATGGTGTCCAGGATCTCCTCCTCATTTGTTGGGAACATGACGTTATATTGAGGAATGGAGATAGACCTTTCATATGGTGTCCAGTATCTCCTCCTCATTTGTTGGAAACATGACGTTATATTGAGGAATGGAAATGGACCTTTCATATGCTGTCCAGTATCTCTTCCTCATTTGTGGGGAACATGACATTATATTGAGGAATGGAGATGTACCTTTCATATGGTGTACAGTATCTCCTCCTCATTTGTTGGGAACATGACGTTATATTGAGGAATGAAGATGGACCTTTCATATGGTGTCCAGTATCTCCTCCTCATTTGTTGGGAACATGACATTATACTGAGGAATGGAGATGGACCTTTCATATGGTGTCCAGTATCTCCTCCTCATTTGTTGGGAACATGACGTCATATTGAGGAATGGAGATGGACCTTCCATAAGGTGTCCAGTATCTCCTCCTTATTGGTTGGGAACATGACGTCATATTGAGGAATGGAGATGTACCTTTCATATGGTGTACAGTATCTCCTGCTCATTTGTTGGGAACATGACGTTATATTGAGGAATGAAGATGGACCTTTCATATGGTGTCCAGTATCTCCTCCACATTTGTTGGGAACATGATCTTATATTGAGGAATGGAGATGGACCTTCCATATGGTGTACAGTATCTCCTCCTCATTTGTTGGGAACATGACATTATACTGAGGAATGGAGATGGACCTTTCATTTGGTGTCCAGTATCTCCTTCTCATTTGTTGGGAACATGACGTTATATTGAGGAATGGAGATGGACCTTCCATATGGTGTATAGTATCTCCTCATTTGTTGGGAACATGACGTTTTATTGAGGAATGAAGATGTACCTTTCATATGGTGCCAAATTTTCTAGATAGAAGAGGTCTTAAGTATGGGCTCCTATACTCACCAAATGGTAACACATAATATTCAGTGTATGTAGACAACTGTTGAACAGAGCGTATTACAGTAGATAGCAAGTAAACAATACCCCAAGCTCAACTGCAAGTTCGGTTTCTAGTGGCTGAGGACTTCATATTCACAGAAGTAAACTGAAAATGTGAACGGTATCTGCATTTAGTGTTTATTACTCACTCAGATCTATGTGTAGAAAAGATTCCTCCTCTTTACTTTTTATAATCATCTCCCCCTCCTCCATAGACTGCTGATCTCCACTCACCAACTTCTCTTCTTCTTCCTCTTTAATCTCAAATTTGGTGTCTTTTAGTTTTTTATCCTAACCCCCAAAGATGATAGAATACAATTATAAAATGCAACAAAAGATTACATAGAAGAATGTGGTTTCATAGCTTGGAATTATCAGAAGTTTAGTTGCTCAGTCCCATCTACCTGATGATGGTGAGGGATGGTGTGATCTTCCTGTGTGGAATCCCGGGAATACAGAGGACGGGGACATCTCTCTGGGGGTTCCCATGACTGGATCCATCTGTAGGAAACACACACACTGACTGAATCCATTGTTTCTATGTGTTTATCAGATGATGGGGGATCTAGGTGGACCCTCCGTACTGCTCTCTCCTTTACAATAAAGTCTCCTCTTACCCGGTGATGTGAGGGGCGGCTGATTGTCCATCATGACGTCCTTGTAGAGATCCTTGTGTCCTTCTAAATACTCCCACTCCTCCATGGAGAAATAGACAGTGACATCCCGACACCTTATAGGAACCTGACACATACAATGATACAGTCACCATCCAGACACATCCCTTGTCTGTTACTGGAGAATGTCCCAGAATTCCCGGCACCGCTCACCTCTCCTGTCAGCAGATCAATGATCTTCTGGATGACTTCTAGAATCTTCTTGGCACTGTTGTCAGACAGTGAGGTGGAGGCCCTGTGATGGGTGATGTCTCCTGGAGACAACTGCCGGGTGGTAATGGATCACCAGATCTTAACCTCTGCAAGCAATGCAATATTCACTCATACATTATGTATCCGGTCTATAAACCAGAGGCTCTGGATGGACGGTTGGATAAATGGTTCTATATTTAGGATGTATCCGGTCTATAAACCAGAGGCTCTGGGTGGACGGTTGGATAAATGGTTCTATGTTTAGGACGTATCCGGTCTATAAACCAGAGGCACTGGATGGACGGTTGGATAAATGGTTCTATATTTAGGACGTATCCGTTCTATAAACCAGAGGCTCCGGATGGACGGTTGGATAAATGGTTCTATATTTAGGACGTATCCGTTCTATAAACCAGAGGCACTGGGATGGACGGTTGGATAAATGGCTCTATATTTAGGACGTATCCGGTCTATAAACCAGAGGCTCTGGATGGACGGTTGGATAAATGGTTCTATATTTAGGATGTATCCGGTCTATAAACCAGAGGCTCTGGATGGACGGTTGGATAAATGGTTCTATATTTAGGATATATCCGGTCTATAAACCAGAGGCTCTGGATGGACGGTTGGATAAATGGTTCTATATTTAGGATATATCCGGTCTATAAACCAGAGGCTCTGGATGGACGGTTGGATAAATGGTTCTATATTTAGGATGTATCCGGTCTATAAACCAGAGGCTCT